ACGTTTCAAAAATTTCAAAACGTTTCGACGTGCCTTGTTTTGTTTTGAGGCTGTTTCGAAGCTCTCTGTTTCGTTTCGATTTTGCTCTTTCAAGCTTGAAATAAGATGAAACTGCGGGTGAAATTTTGCACAGCCCTACTTGTCAGTACTCCTCTCCAGTTAGCTAGGGCATGTGCTGTAGTCAACAATAATTGCTACCCAGGTGCATACAATAGAGTTCTGCTCTGAATCTACCCCTGGCTCTTGCACTGGGTATGTGGCCAGCACTGTCCAGGCTCCAGGAAATGGGGAGACATTGCCTTCCTGGAAACCTTTTTAAACAACAGCACCTGAAGAAGGAAACCATTTTGAGATTTGGATCCATTGTAATGTTTGTCCCAAGTGGTCTAAACTATAATTCAAGCCTTGCAGGGAGTAGTCAGATCGCTGCTTTGTTGGAGTCTTTCACACATCCCTCTCTGTCTTTGTTCTGTCTTGAGTGTTTGTGTCAGCATTTCCTGGAATCTGCTCACTGGAACAGCTGGAGGGGCAGCATTTGTTTTCAAGTAATCAGATTGCTGGCACTGTGCTGGAGGATGTTGAAAAATAGTTCTGATGTCATGGGATTTGAATTGATGTTAGCTAGCTATGTGAAGCATTTTATACTGGTATCTGATTATAGGATACATTGGTAGCAATGCCTTTAGTTAAGCTTGGCTAATGCTTTCCATTTTAAGACCATTTTCTGTTGTTTGTAACATGGCCAAATTTCAACCATTTGGGTTGACATTTTCCCTTCGGGGATATGTCTTAGGCTGAATTTTTTGGGGGGGGTCAGAAGTTCTGGCTAAAATACTGCCACTGTTTCCAAGAATGAGATTATGGAAAAAATGTTGTTTTACCCATTCAAAGAAATAAACTTACAACCAGTTAGTTGAAAAGCAGCATTACCTCAATGTTGTGGGAGTGGGAACTTAACACAGTATCCCTTTGAGGCAAATGTGCTTTTTGTTATTCCCACAAACACGTACCCAGATTGTAGCTAAGCCTCCAAAAATGATCAGAGCTTGCACGTGCTCAACAGAAGCTTGCTAGAGTTGAACATCTAAAGTCTCCCAAGATTGTGTCTGCAAGGAGCACACCCCCCCCAGGCCCGCGTGGGCTAAACAAGGGTTGCCTGCAGTTGCCCTTTCTGGTGGCCAGGGATACAGTACTGGCTTCAGATAGTGAGACCAGAGAGGCTGTTTCTCCTGTGTGCTCAGCTAAGGTACGCATTATCCACCATAAGTTTGGCACTTTCTAGGATGCTTTAAAGAAACATTTAACATAAGCTAATTGAAGCCAAAATGTCTGTGATAACACACTGAGTTTTTCCCATTTAATAAATGGTTGGCTCCCTACCAAAGTTTCTTTGGCATCTAGGCTCATTTGAGCCCTCATTCGGAGCAATAAGAAGGGTATGAAGAGACTGCAGTTTAAGAACTTTGCTTATGGGAGCCCAAAGAAAGATTATAGTACTGAGGGGTAACACTGAAAGTTGGAAGAAATTTAGACATTTAAACCTTGCTCCACCTCTTCCCTTTGCATTCCTTACTGAAATAGAGCTCTGTGATGCTTTGCTTTATCACTAGAGAAGCCTGAATAAAATAGCTTGATTATTTCACGTGCTGTCTCATTTCTCTAATAGCAATTCCTCTGCTAAGCGGGATAGCCAACAGATGAGCCAAGCAGACTTATATACTCTGAATGAGAGAGGAAAACATTTAATTTTCCTCTCCAGGAGTTTCTGCTTTTGCTCTAGAATTTCCAATTTACTGAAAAACCTCATCTGTCACCCTGGTAGGTATGACAAGAGATTTGTATGCATGTGTTGCAAACTATTCATAGTAGTCAAAGGACCTGCTCACAACCTGTTTTGCCCATATAATACATCTTGCAGGCATATTTAATTCTGTCCCTATAATTGGACTAAAGCTTAGAGAGAGAATTGGAGTCTTAATTTGGTGGCGATAATATTTGGACTTTATTTATTATATAGATTTTTTAACTATTTTGCAACCAAGTAGCTTAACTTGCTCGCAGTGTTGTAGCATGAATAAGACCCAACAGATGAAAATAAAGGTTGTATTTAAAGGGAGCTACCAATGAAATGTCATCCATGCAAATCACAGCTGGGACCAAAGACCTCAACCAGCAAGCTAAGGGTAATGAAAAGACCAAATGCTGGCAACTAGATTCATCCCCCAAGTGAAGAAAATTCCATTCTCCTGCTCTTCCCCCAGGGATGTGTCCTTCATGCAAGACTACATTTTAGTCTATAAACTGACCCTTTAAAATGCTAGGGATTTTGATGAAAGGTCAAAGTTTGGACCCAATCCTCGAAAGGTCTGTGCACCCAAGACAGAGGGAGCAAAGAGTAGGTTAGGCCACTGACTATCAGGCTTTTGTGTCTTTTCACAGCTGGAATGCTAATAGTGATTGCTATTTCTACAGAAAACACAGGGGTGACACCCATTGACAGTAAAATGAAACACTACATACATAAGGCAAAAACAAAAAAGCACCTGATTCTTTTACCTCAGCCAGCTATTATAAGCCAATCCAACTTTTCTACTTGAAATATCTTTATGTTCTGGGGTGAGACCTTAGTAAACAGTGAAATATATGCTCTACCTATGCTGTACCATGGAGGGACATCCGTGACAGTGAAGGCTACATCTCTTCTAAAATGCCACTTTTTATGGCAGGCAGTACTAGTACAGAAGCATAGATGTGTCTGTGAGATACTGTATTAAGTTTCACCTGGGAGCCAGCTGCTTACATTGTGTGATCATTCCTCTCTGACTGAAGAATAAGGCTCTGAGTGAACAAATGCATCCAACTGTGAAAAATGAACAATGAAAACAATGAAGTTGTCAGTTCTCTTACCAGGATGCAAATAAATAACCAGCCTGTCAAATAGGCTGCTCTGCTGGACCATTAGTTTAATACAAAGACATTCCGAGGTGCGGGGACATGACAGCTGATCTATCACCCGAGTGATTCCAGTCTTTGATAAAAGTCTGTTCAGAGTGGGTTATGATACATACTTTTAAGCTCACGTTATTTAATGTCAGGCATGGCTAATACATGAACTTGTGTACCTCAGCGATATGGGAAATGTATGGTAAGAAGCCAATTTCTAACTGATTTCCTTAGATTTGGGTTATGTCTGAATTTCGCTCAGTATGACGCCTCCTTTGATGGGTTGTAACTGAATTTTATGGGCTTCTCTCTTTGCAGCCTGCCAGGGTAACAGCTTTGGGGAACGCTGTAGTCACGTTTGTAATTGTCACAACGGAGCGCTCTGTGATCATGTAACTGGGACATGTATTTGTAGAGCAGGCTGGAGAGGAGCTACTTGCCAGGAAGGTACAGTGAACATTTAATTTCAGTTGCAAGTAGATTATGGAAGAGAAAAATAAAGTTTTCAATTCAGAACTTTTTATTAGTATTGAAACTCAGTTTTTACACTGTTGTCAAACTGCTTTTGATCTAAAGACTATTATCTAAAATACTTATATATTGTAAGAACCTTCCTGCTAAGGTTTTCAAAACTGCTTTGCAGATTTAGCCAGACAAATCCTCTTAATGTCAGTGGTGAATGTTTTTGCAGAATGCCTTAATTAAATTCCAGTATGGGTCTCCAGTGTAACCTGTCTTAAGTGAAGGGGCAGAAATACTAGTTGAGATTAGTCTTTTAGTAACCAGCTTGTGGATTGCCACTTAATAAGAGAGGCGTTTTGCATATGCAGAAATGGCAGTGCAAGCTGTAGGAAAATAAAGATGGAATTAAGAACCGGAAGCATTTTGAATTCAGCATGTCACTTCCCTAGTAATATGTGAACAGCTAGGAGAGGTCCCCACATACATAGTCCAGAAAAAGCTGAAAAGGATCCACAAGTCAAAGGATACAAGGTGTTCCCAGGGATAAGTGGTCTAGCTCAAAGAGATAAAGTGACCTAGGACAGTGGAGCTCAACCTTTTGACTCTGCAGGCCACATGAGTGCCGCAGAGCCTGTCTGCAGGCTGAATTAGGCCCTGTGCCACCTTAACTGGCCCCTGCATGTGAGGATCAGGCCTTAGGGCCCTATACTGCCGCCACATCCTGGGACCAGGCCCTATGCTGTGTCCACACCCAGCATCAGTCCCAGTGGCCCTGCACCACCTCCATCCAGCCCCACCCATTGGATCAAGACTCTGATTGCCCTGTGCAATCAATATAATATTCAGGGCTGCAGCCTACTGGCATCTCTGTGGACTTGTGGGGAGCCTTATGGGCCCGATTACCTGTCTGATGAACTTGAGTTCAAAGCACCCCACCACCGTTTTTCAGCGTGGGGACACTGATACACGTCACACTCCAGGTGATTTTAATGAGCACAGCTCTCAGACCTGCTCTAATTAACACCTGCCCAACACACACGCACGTGCGCGCGCACACACACGCACATGCACACCCCTCCTGGAGTACATCTATAAATGCCTTACGTGTTGAGATCATGATTTTAGGACATAGCTAATCACTTTCTTCACTTGCCCTTAATCTTCATTAATAGTAACTTCTTTCAGATTTTAGTTTTGTTCTTTAGAACATTGATTGTGTTCAGACCAATTTTCCATTAATGCATTTCCATTTGCTTCAGTATTGAGTTACTTCTAATTAACTCCCATGTAAGTCAGACGTGAATCAGTTCCTGTAGGTCATATCCAGATCTGACTTTGAGCCACTTGCACAATCAGCAGGACTGTACAAAGTGTAAAGAGATTTAGGTTCTATGTTTTTTCTCTTGCATTGATTTGCTTAAAAGGTGGTGCTTTCCTTTACGGTTAAAAGTTTCCTTATCTTGATTTGTTAACTGTTTGGAATTCTGAATGTTGCAGAAACCTCTAAATAAATTAACATTTAGTGTTTAAATTATAAGGTGAAGGAATGTGGAGTATTGACTGTGCCAATGTTAGCAAGAATTCAGCAGTCTGTATGGCTTCCTGTTTGTGTAGTCTATGCATACTTTTTTTAAACAAAAGTTTTCAATTTTAATTATTGCAGCCTGTCCTCCTGGTTTGTATGGTGTGAACTGCATGCAGCCCTGTATCTGCCACAATCGGGCTACGTGTGACTATGTATCTGGAGTGTGCATTTGTCCCAAGGGCTGGACAGGGATAGCCTGTGAACTTGGTGAGTTCCATCATGTCCTCCATTGACTTTGTCTAGATGTTTCGATCCCTGGCAAATCTAGCAAAGTTGCATCCTGTTGATTTCAGAGTGTCAGGAAGGGAAATATGGAGAGGGATGTGAGCAGAACTGCAACTGCAGCAATGGTGGAGTTTGTGACCGATACTCAGGGAAATGCAGCTGCCAGCCAGGTTGGATTGGAGGCCAGTGTGATGTTGGTAAGGTGGTTCATTTCTTTATTTTGCGTTTTTGGGTGCCTGTGTCAAATCGACTCTCTACCTTAATCAGATTAACTCTGTCATCCAAGACAGAGTCACTTTCTCCCTTTAAATTTAAACTTAAATGTTTTATTTATTGTATGTGATTATAGGGATCAGCCTGTGAATCAGGAGTTCTGCATTCAAGTTCTTGCTCTGTTACAGATTCCTTGTATGACCCTGGGCAATCACTGAATATTTCTGTGCCTTTATCCCTTGTCTGTGGGGAAAAAAGGATCACTTCCTTACCTCACAAGGTTGTTATAAGTATTAATAGATTGTGTGACTCAGGCCTCATCTACACTTACACTTAAGACATGATTAACCAGTTAATCACATCCTAAGCTGTCACATGACCACAAATTCAATCAATGAATGGTGTGGTAAAAGGAGAAATAAGGCACAATACATGTGTAATAACAGTTTGGCTCCATACTGTCATACCATTAATTGGATGTGTGGTCAGGGGCCCCTGTGGCTGGGCCCATGTGCACCCCAGAACCTGGGAGCTCCCAGCTTACAGGGCTCCCAGCTGCTGGGATGTCCCAGTCAGCCCCGTGGCTGGGAGACCACAGCTGATACGGGCTTCCATCTGGGTGGGGGTGCTCCTGGAGCACTCCCAAATCTGGGAGATTGCATTAGCTGTAGTCTTACAGCTTCTGGGGTACAGCATTTGCCACTGCCAGAGCCAAGCGGGTAAGTCCTGGCAGTGAGAGGGATGGGAGTGTAGGTTAGCTTTGGTTGGGGGGGAGAAGGTCAGGAGGCTAAAAGTAGCCTCTGATCCCCTCAAGCCCCCAGCAAAACCCTATGGATTGCACCTGTCCCCTCCTCACCCATGGGTCGCACCTGCCTCCCCACCCCACCCACAGGTCACGCCTGCCCCCTGACCCCTCGCAGGTCATGCCTGCCCCACCACCTGCAGGTCATGTCTGTCCCCCACCCCTTGTGGGTAGAGCCTCCCCCCCCATGCCCTGACAGACCCCTGATCCCCTCCAGCCTGCTGGCTCTCCAACCCCCTTGCTAGCTCCCCCATCCTGATTTACCTGATATTGGGCAGCCATTTTAAATGGATTTAACGTCCCCCTAATGCCCCCAAATGTCTGTACTTACCCAGGATCTTGCTGGCTCTGCCACTGCGTGGCACAAGATTACACAGCAAGTCACACCTGACTCTTTATGATGCTTCCAAAATACTGAGAATGTGCAAGTCACATTATTCAGCGAGAATCATAGGAATCTGAAATGCAGGTTTCTTATTTCTGCATATCTGAGGTTGTTTTCTAGCTTTCTGAAGACCTTTAAGATAAGAACTGTACAGGTATAATATGCTGTCATTATTAATGAGATACGATGTTGTTCAAAACATACAGGGAAGCGTAGAAGCCTAAATTGCGTTACCCTTACTATATAATCCATTCTCATCTACAAATTTTTAGATTGCTGTTAAGACTTTACAATCATTCATGTCCATGTTGACCAGGAGTCAGGACTGAATGTAACAATTTTTTATATGCCTTCTATATAGACTCTTTAAATGATACATTCTGGTCCCGTGGTTTTTCAGTATAGATCACCTCAATGTGTGCCATATAAAGGCTGATGGCTTGCACATTCTTTATACATATTTGAAAAAAAAATTATTCTGAGCATCTCTACATGTCCTTCTCCTCCTAGTCTGTCCCTCTGGCTTCTTTGGAGAGCAGTGTAAAGAACGGTGTGACTGTGAGCACAGCTTGTCCTGCCACCATCAAACTGGAGTGTGTCACTGTGATAAAGGATGGCGAGGAAAACAGTGCGACAAACGTGAGTTCCTCCTAAGTATACTGAAAAAACATCTTCCTGACATGCCGCATCTTATGTTAAGACTCCAGTCCTTACACCCATGCATAATCTCACTGAAATCAGTAGGAGTTCAGGGAGTTCAGGACTTTACAGAATTAAGCCATAAGAAATATGTTTCTGTGGGGATGTGGTAGTTTTCTACTTCTCCACAACTCAAGCTACAATTTCCCTGTCAGCAGATTTTCATGATGTTATTTCACATTATTATGATATTTAACATTCTTTCATGCCAAATACCATCTGTTCCCAAGTCTAGCAATTCATCACCTTCCAGTACCAAAAAAGAACACTAAATGTTAGCATCTTGATTCTGATCACTAGTACATGGGCCCAGTGCTGGTCAATGTGTTTATTAACAATTTGGACGCTAGCATAGAAAGCTTCTTGAGCAAGGTTGCAGAAGACACAAATCTGGGAAGGACTATAAACACATTGGAGGATGCAAGTGCAATTCAAAAGGATCTTGGCAGACTGGAAAGCTGGGCTAGAACTAACAGAATGAAGTTCAATATGAACAAATACAAGGTGCTACACCTCAAGAGAAATAATCAAAACCACAGCTATAAAATGGGTATACCTGGCTGTATGGCAGCACTATGGAAGAGGCTTTGCGAGCCTTGGTAGATCACAGACTCAGTAAGAGTCTGTAGTGTGATGCAGTTGCACAAAAAGCAAATCCAGTTTTGGGATGCATTAATAGAACCATTAGGGGTGCAGACAGAAGTGCAGCTCCCCACTGTAACTGAGAATGCTTTGCAGGAAGCATTCTAAGTTTGAACAATCCCCTGGACCAAACAGAAGTTCACTGTTGGTTCCATTGGTGGGGGGGGGGTGTCTTGCTGCTGGCTGTAAGCATGCAGCTGGTTTCCCCTAGCAACTCCCCCTTCTCCCTGCCAGCCCACACTGTTTTCAGAATGGGAGGGGGAGGAAGGGAGCTGAGGGAGCTCATTCTAGGTTTCTCAGCTGGCTTTGGAGGATGGAGTAGGTGAATTGGAGCTCCCCCCACCCCATCTCAGGGGTCTCCAAAACACCTTCCTGATCCTCCAGCTGGGGCTGAAAACCCCCAGACTGAATGTATTCTTCTCCCTTTCCCCCTTTCCATTCTGAAAACAGCAACAGTCTGGGAGGCAGCGCAGGCAGAAGTTACAGAAGACACTCTGTTTTGAAGCGTCTTCATCTGAACCCTTACGCAATGAGGGTTCAGATTTTCCCCCTATTGGCCATTTTTTAAGTGGTCTGCAGCAGTTTGAGTGGTCCACAACAGTTGTGTTTGGTCACTTCTATAAACCACTTTCTGTGACCAGATCAGGTGAAAATTGTCATTTCTGTCCGCATCCTAGGTGCAAGATGTAGGAGGTGATAGTGCCTCTATACTCGGCACTGGTTAGGCTTCATCCATAGTACTGTGTGTAGTGCTGGGCTCCACATGTTTAAAAGCAATTGGAGAAATTAGAGAGGCAACAGAGATGGTCAAGGACTTGGAAGGCAAGTCATATGAGGAGATGCTGAAGGAGCATGTTCAGCTTGCAGAAAAGGCGCTTAAGAGGAGACATGATAGCAGTCTTCAAATACTTGAACAACTGCCATAAGGCAGAGGGGAAACATCTTTTCTCTCTTGCTGTAGAGGAGGACATGGACCAATGGCTTGAAATTGCAGCAAAACAAATTTAGGTTGGATATCTGGAAAAACTTCACTACTAGAATACCAAGTAGTGGAATAGACTGACTAGGGAAGTTATGATCGTCACTGGAAGTGTTCAAGAAGAGGTTGGAGAGCCACTGGTCAGGGATGACCTAGGAATAGCTATGCCTATGTTCTGCTTGGCAGAATTCAATATTTTTATATATATGATTTAGACAGATAATATCAATGTTTATTTGTAAGAATTTATTTCCATTTTTATCAATTTAAATTTTCAGGATTGCACAAAATTGGGAGTGGGGGAGCAGACAATTTACTGACAGTGTACAGTTTATTAATGACAGCTCCCTCATCTGCTGTGTCACTTCCTCTTCCTTTGTTCATCTTCCAGTTCCCTGGGGTTTCTGGGAGTTGCAGTGTGAATCAGCATGGTTCTGTAGAACTGCTTCCCCACTACTCATCACAACCTCCATCGGCCATCATTTTTCTTAAATCCCCTTTCTATAAATTTTGATTATTAATAATGGAAATATTTTTCATCAGTCTGTGAGTGTAAGGTGAAATTAACATTTACTGATAAAAATCAAATTCTACCAAGCCTACCTATGTTCTGCTATGGGTATTTCCCATGCTTCTAGACTTTGCTGGTTGGCCCTTCCTTGGCCCCTCCCCTTTCTGCTACATGTGTCAGCGTGTTTTTAAGCCTTTCTTAGAGGCATTGGGTGTTGTCCATAGCTAAGGCTGAGGACTTTGACTGGGATATACTAATGCTTCTACTGGGACCAAAGCCAGAGGTCCCTGGGAGAGGCTTTTGCCCCTCCACTCAGGGTCAGACCAATCACCATTTCTGGGGTCAAGAAGGAATTTTACCTCATGGTCAGATTAATACAGGCTGTGCGGGTTTTGCCTTCCTCTCTAGGAGGGGGTGTGGCCCTATACCCAGATCTCTTGAGCATATGTTGACAACATTTCATAGACGCAGGACATTGGTTGCTGTAGTTCTCATGCTTTACCTGTGGCAGGTTAGGTTGATGGTAATCTTATGGAGAATTTAGATTACAGTGTAGGATATAGTGTGTAGGATGGTTTGGATAGGGATGATCCTGCCTTAGAAACAGGTGCTTTAAAAACCAAGATGTTATCTTCTTAGGAAAAGCAAGAAGTATCCAAGTACAAGAGAAGACCTGATCTTGTCTCTCTTATCTTTTTAGCCTTTTATTCATGATATTTGTAGTTCAAGTCAAGTTCATATAAAGTTTCCTTGTGTGCATCATAAAAATGTGCATATTAAAGATGTAAATAAAATCTTAGTTGTATCAAAATTGACAAGAGTTTGTCAACTAAAAAGGGTTTAGCATTTCAGCTTCTATGATTGCAGGTCAGAATTTGTCTCCTATCTGTGGAAATCCTGAGCAGCTAAACTTTTACTCCTTTTTGCAGTCAGTTCTCCAAAGAACAGAGTTGTTTTGAAAACACTGCTATTTTTCATGTATATTCACTGTTTTGTCAACTCCCGCTACATCTACTAAAGTCAAGGATAGTATCTGGCCTTTGGTTGTGTAACCCGGGTGGTACTCCAAGAGGTACCCCTTCTCCAGTTGAAGGGATCAAAGCAGGTGCACAAGCACTGTGGGAGGTGTAGGGACTCTCCTCCCCCTATAGAGCAGAGCCAAGCCACCAGTGGAGACTTAACCATATACCTTTTAATACTGGGAACATAACAGGCATAAATCAGAGGGTATACTGGACACTACAATACCCCAAGGGGGCAGGATTCAACAAAGGTTAGACACTTACAATCACTGACAAAAAACAGGGTTAACAAAATATAAAGCACAGACAGCAGAACAAACAATATGGGTTGGTGAAATATAAAAAGGCACAAAATGCAAAATGTCAAATGACAAGGAAATATAGGGCCTTGGTACCTGGAGGGGGGTTACACAATGGCCCCTTTCCTCTGCAAGAAGACTTGCTTCTTGTTATCTCACTCACCCCAAGTCACCTCAGCTGAGACTTGAACCTAGATCTCCCACATGGTAGGCAGGAACACTACCACACAGCCCCCACTGGTAGCACTGCACTAGCCTGCTAGGGGTCTTGACCTTCCTGGAGCCCCGGCCTCATGTTGAGCTGCCTGGCTTCTGATTGGAGGAGCTGGAAGCAGAGCTGGGAACCTCTCAGGTCGCTGCTCAGATCCTTCCTGGAGCGGGGGAGCCTCTCCTGCTGGCTGTAGCCTCTTGTAGGGGATCCTGGAGCCCAGTGGAGAGCCTCTCCTGCTGGCCACACACCACACTACTGAGGGTCCCACTACTGCCTGCAGATCCTGCTCTTTCAGGCTCTTCCAGGACACTGCTCCTGCCCCACTGAATCAGCTCTTGCCAGCTCTGTGAAGCTTCTTCCTTGTTGTCCCTTGCTGGTGTCTCCCCTGAGTCAGCCCACGCTGCCCCTTTTGTCCCCCTCCAGGTGACCCAAGGGGCCAATCGGGACATGGGGAGGTGAGTCTCAGGGGCCTGATTGGTGCAGAAAGGGAATCCCAAGTCCTCCAATCATCTTTTGCCCTTTCAAAACCCCTGGGTTAGGTCACTGCCTGCTAGCCCATCACATCTGCTAAACAGTTTGCTTTACTGAACATTGTTTTCTTTATTCCAGCTTGTTTGTCTGGGTACTATGGCATTAACTGTGCTCAGCATTGCAATTGTGCTTTGGGTACCCCTTGTCATCATGTGACTGGAGAGTGTGGCTGCCCTCAAGGATTTACTGGCTATGGCTGTGAAAAAAGTAAGTTGTCATAAAAGCATTCGACTAATTGCCCTTTAAAAATTCTGCAGGGGAATGAATCATTTGTTAAATAACTAAATAGCTGATATAAGCAGTAGGACAGCAAGACCTGTGCAGTAATAAAGGTGGCTTAGAACTTGAGAGCAGCATGTGGATGCACAGCTTTCCAGCTGGCAGAGGAAGAAGACAGGGATTAAATTCATCACAGCTGGCATGGGTCAGAGCTAGATTCAGCTCTGTTTGCTGTGCCCAATAGGCAATTCTGTCCTTTGAGAGGGGAGAGAGTAGGGTCACCTCTGCCCTCCACTAGGTTCTGCTGGTGGGAGAACAGATTCCATTCTTGCCTGCCAGAGTTCTGCTGGGTTGTAATTATCTTTATTATCCTAATTAATAGCCATCACTGAATGTGGCAAAAACCCCAGCTATTCTGTAGTGACCCTGGAAAGCAATCTGTGTTTCCGCTGTGATCCCAGCTCTATAATTCCTATTTTGTGCTTTACTGCAGCATTTCTAAAATCTTTGTGTTGAGTATAATTTTTAACATTAAAAAGAGTTGGTTATAGAGATTTTCAGTTAATATGTATGTCCTTAATTGATCTAAAACTCTTTAAATGCTTTATTTGATGCTTCCCACACAGAGCATGATCCCCAGTCAGGGCTGTCTGATGTTGAAAGTAACAGAAATAATGATAAATAGCTATAATAAGCACCATTGCAGTATATTTTGTGGCACCAGTTTACCTCACCTGAGAATCAGGTCTAAATATAGCTGTGAGGGTGCTGAGGTACAGAAGTGAACTCCTGTATAAAAACTGTGGTGCAGTAAGATAGAAACATGTAGGCAGCATGGCTGACAAACGACAAAATGCACTGCGTACAAATGTTTGCGCTAAAGCAGTCTTGCAAGTTTAAACCATTTACACAAGGTACAATGTCTTTATCCATACATGTGGTCTCCTGTGAATTGTACTATTATTTTAGTCAATTTTGCCTGACATCTCCCTATGATTTTCTTTAGTGACAAGAAAATTGTTGCTGGCCCTTGACAGTTGGGTACAAATTGACTGAACAAAACAAAACCAAACAGTGAAGTAATCCCCAAGTAAATTTAATAAAACTCAAGTCCCAGAAGGCAACATACTTCTGTAGGCAGGGATCTTATTTAATAAATTTTAGCCTTCTCTTTGTGTGAATACTATAGTTACCAAGACAAATTTAATTCATTGGTTTACATTTCCTCGTCTCTAAGCTTGTTCACCAGGCACATATGGTAAGAACTGTAACCGAGTGTGTCAGTGCTCTGCAGAAAACGAGGAGTGTCACCCAGTAACTGGCAAATGCACCTGCCTACCAGGTTACTATGGAATTCACTGTGACCTCAGTAAGTATAATTCATGCTTCATATTTTTTTCTTATATTTCTTTTTAAAGACAAAGTTTGCATAATCAATTAGGGACAATTGATTCTTGGGGTTTTTTTGGGGGGTGGGGGGTTCCATATCTTCAGTCTTCAATGAGACTCTTCCAGGAATAAAGCAGTTGTCTTTCTAAGCAAGGCTAGTTGAATTGGCACTTTTTTGTAGGAATGAGGATTCTTTCCTCGAGACAAATGTTTTACATTTTTCCAGTCATTTTTGCCTCTGGCCCCTCCGTGGAAAGTAATATGAGCATGGTTTTGCACATACACATCTCCTCTGCAGCTACATATGGATATGGTATAACTCTCTTCCCTCAAAATACCAAAGGCAAAATGCTTCCTGAAAGCTCTGAGTGCTAATGTAAGGACAAATGGTTATTATAAAACAACAGAGTGCAATTGGCAGTAAATCTAAAGTGATTCATAAAGTCAGTTAAATTGCATGGTCTTGTTAGGAACAATCAAATTAAACAAATTGTTATTTTAGATTGAAAACTAGTGACTAGCACGAAGGACCAAATGACAATTGGCTGCATATTCCATCATAAAAAATATTCCCAGATCCACATACCTCACACTGATATTTTAGGAGATCAATAAAGCTGTTTGTGGTGGAATGTGGCAACTGAGGAAAAACACACACTAAAGTGACCAAAAGGAGACGGCCAGTTACTGTTGTATTTACAGCTTTAATTTAGGGGGGTTTTATGTTGTGGTCAGTAATATCCCTCTAAAGAATGAAACATTTTCTCCTTTCAAGCTCAGTCATTCTTTCCTTCCATTAATTGATCTTCCTCCATGTTTTCTAAGAAATCATCTGAGCTCTATCTGTTGCCCCTCTAGACAATGATTTTGAGACTGAAACCAACAGCAATGAATGTGGCTCTAACCAAGAGTTAAAAACAGTGCTTAGCTCCTAGAATGGAAATAGAATAGTTCACCCATTTCACAGGATTTCATCATCATGCTAACAGAAGTTATATTTAAAAAAGAATAGGGTCTGATTCTGCTCCTATTTACATCAGCTTTATACCAGTACAATATTACTGGCTTCTGATTTACATTAATATATGCAAAATCAGAATCAAGCCCTTGAAATTTTAATTATGATCAATGTTGAAGTTATTAACATTCGAGGGCTTAAGTCCTTGACAGTGCCATTTTAAATATATTGAGTCAAGGTTGATGTGAAGCCCTGACTACTACTGTGTTGGCTCTTTTGGGAGTAGTCAACATGTATGTGTACAAGGGGCCAGACTTTGACAATTTCATTGAAACTTCCCTGAATAAAATGGAATAAGAAGCTCAAAATTTAGCCTTAGAATTTGGAAATTAAGGCAGTTAGACTTGCCGTGATTTAGCAGAAATATTTACAGAGTGAAATGTGGGCTCCATTGAAATCAAGTGGGATTTTGGTCTTGACTTCATAGAGGAATGATTTAAACCAGAGTAAACGAGGCCTATTCATTCTTGATGAGGCCCGTTCATTCTTCAGAAGCGCTGGAGCTGCACAGTATCTTCTACTTCTCTATGAATCAATTGCATATTGTTTAAGTTTTATGTCTAGTAAAACAAAGGGACAGCCTTGATCTCTAGGATAGGAATTTAGAGAGAGAGAATGCTCCCTCACATCTGCATTCTTCTTTTGTTTTATACTTTTTGCTCAATAATTTTGACCAGTCAGTGGTGCAGTGTTGGAATGTAACCAGATTTGCTTTAAAATTAGGATAACTTTTGTTGTAGGAACAGCCCTTGCAAGTATTCTAGGATCAGTTTCTGATCTCATATCATCTTGACACTGGGATTGTTTCAATGTCTTTATTGGATTTATTTATATTCTGCATGCACACTGATGTAACTAAGATGAGAATTGAACCTAATCTATCCCACACTAAAGAAGCTTTCACTGTATTATGGAAAACTAGACTTAGTATCGAGAGCCACTCCCAATGAAAGTCAAGTTGGCTTTAATCCAGTCAGTGTGTGGTTGGATGCTGCTGGAAGCAGTTTCTGGCAGCAACTGCTTTTGTATAGTACTGTGCAAAAAGATTCAGGAAAATATCCTTAAAAGGTGTAGCTGGCTGAGAAGTTAATGCTCCAGGAGCCAAAAGCAACTGGGCTTTCATGTTCTCAAGTTCTGGAGTGAGAGTGAAGAAATGAAATAGTCTCTTGGCAGGATATGGAGGAAGCAGACAAGTATAGTAATAAGAAGCCCATCAGTTGTCCATAACTCAGTGGACAAGCAAGTTTGCCTGCATGTGGTCAAATTAGGGAGAGAAGAAAGAAAGAAAGAAAAAAAGTGGCTGTAATAGATGCAAAAACACTCAGCATCTCTAAACTGTTTACAGATGTAATAGAGCCTGGTGAACTTTGAGCAAGAAAGATGTCCCCCAACCCAGTGTCTACTGATTGACTTTCCAGTTCTAGATAATGAGGCACTGCATTAGTGTATTCTTTGGCAATGCAATTAGCAGTATTGATAAGGACACCCACAGTATATGCTGTTGGTATGGAAGGATTTAGGAACAGTTGCTCAAGACAAAATGCTCCCTAGTTAGAAGGAAGAGATCAGGAAATGACTGAAATCTGGCTGCTGTTCTTGCAGTTCTCAGAAGAACATAACTCAGATACACAGGAAACTGTTAAATTAGAAAATGTCTTTATTAGATAACTGGTGGTTAGAGGCTAAACCTCTTTATGGATGCATAGCCTACATAAATGGCAAGATAGTGTGTAAATTGCTGTAGCTGTCTGCCTGTAAGCTGTCTTGGAAAGTAGTAACAGATAAACGTGTCTTGCTGATAATTATGTTGAATGTCGCAGCAGATGTGTTTGCTCTGCTTGTGTTGCTCCCTGTTGAACTGAAATGAAAAAAAAAGTTAAAAGGGATAAGTATATTGGGAGAGGAAGAATTACATGAATTATGGCAACCTCTGCTAGTTATGAGAGAAACCCTGTCTGCCTGAGCTGAAAAACAATTCTGAAACCTCTGCCAGGGATGAGAACAACATGGTTGGGGGTGTGAAACAGAGTAAAAAAGGAAAAAGTCAAAGAATGACCAAAAGGAAGGGGGAGGGGACGTAAGAAGAAAATCACTGAAGACACCAAATAAAATCATCAGACAAGGCTGTGTCCTTAACGTTGTTTCTTGGTGGCTATTAAACGAACACTATGGCTATTAAATGAACACTACAACAAACCAAGAATGCTAGGAACTGACATATTTCTGTGCATATAAAATAGCAACTTTTACTCTATAAAATTTGCAGCACAGGATGGGTCTCTTTTAGTATATTTAAGTAGGAAGTGGGCAACATAATGTTCAGATGTTCAATTCTGATAGACTGATAGCAATGTATTCAGCGAAAAGAACCTAGAAGGGGGCAAGGCATCTATATGCTGTACAAACAGGTGTTTCTATGGACCAGTGAATCTGATATCCTGACTTAGGCAGAGACCAGTGCCCAGTTTTGTTTTAAACGATAACCTGATTGCATTCACTGTTCTCAGATGATAGAATGAACAGCTAAGGAAGCAGCAATTTCTTCTCCATTGACATAGATCATGATTTTATACCCACGAAAAGCATGTGCATTATTAATACCAAAAACTCCTTAAAGACAGATTTGCAGAGATCTGTTAGTAGGACGCAGCCAAACATTTACTTAGCCAAGGTTTTCCAAAAAGCCAAAGCCTTCCTGTTTTTTGGTGGAGAAAAGTAAAAATGTCATTTTCAGGAGCAAGGAGACAGCCTTTAGAAGTGTGAATTGTGTTTATAAAGGGCTGTAGTGCTGCCCTTAACACAGCAGATCTAAAATCGTATTCACACTCCTGACAAGCTACAGCTTTCCCTTCCACCGTTCTGTTGCTTTTGACACAGGACACATGAGAAAGGCAGGCATATTCTGGCCCTTTAGAAATCAATATTAACAAGGCCAGGTTAAGCTACAAGTACTAGAAGCCAGTGCCTTACTCCTGGAGCGGTATGTTTATTGCAGACACTTGCTTTTCACTTAATACTGTAGTTAAAGGAATAACCTGAGCGGAGTGTAACTGGGACAACCTGAAACAGTAGCTCAGAGTGGTGAATTTCCCCAAGCATCTCAATGGTTTTAATGCCAAGACCCTGTGCTCTGAGGATTTTGCCAGCCCCCCACTGCAGAGGACTCAGAGTGTGATGCAGTCCAGTTCTCCCACCTTTGCACTCCCCTCTTGATTCTTAGGAAAGTCAGGGGTTACTGCTATCCTTCCCTCTGGGTGTAGTCCCAAGCCATTGCTCCTGCCTCTCTTTGCTGCTACTGTCACTCCAAGTAAAAGAAGTCAAGGCCAGAATGGGGCCCCATGGCCTCATGTTTGTAGGGACCTTAGTTTGACCGTGAACATTAGGAGTATTAATTTAGTTTTCTACTGGTGCAGTAAGCATTAGATTCTTGATTCTCACATTAGTTTTACGTGGGTGCAACTTAACTAGAATTTCTGATTGACACCTGGTATAAATGAGATCTCAAGTCCTAGACCTGTTGTTCTGAAGTGGGGCATAAGAGCAGGGCAGGTGTTTGTTTGTCCTTGGCCACTGGTGTTAAAAATGTACCTGTGAACACAAATAAAACCATGGAGGGAAATAATAAATCCCTGTTCCACAACTTGTTTAAAATATAATATAAATGTTCCCTATTATCCAAAAAGCCTCTTTTTACAAAGTCAGAATAATAATTCATGGATAGCTCCCCCTCACTTAAAAATGGCCCCAGTATTACATCCAAACCCAGTCTTAACTGAGGTTACTAGTACTATAGGGTAATGTTTCTTTTTATCAAGATGAATTACAAGTTTTGTGCTTAGTTCTGAGTCTACTGAAATATTCCATTTTATATTCTCATTGCATATTTGCGTAACTTTCCATTTACAGACCAGGGACTACCTCAGACAGTGCAGCGAAAAACCCAATTCAGAAAAAAACACATAGGTTAGAAAGGAATTTCACTTTCTACTGCTTAAATTAAAAAAAATACAAATAAAGGATTGATGGTTTATGAGCAGCTAATATGATAGGGAATGAAGATGGAAAACCACATTTGGAGCTTATTGGTCAAACTAGTAGGATGTCCTAACTGCATTTTTCCTGTTTTAAAACAGGGTGTCCAAAAGGAACCTATGGCCCATATTGCCGGAAAGCATGTAAATGTCTCAATGGTGGCCTTTGTGATCCTATGACAGGAACCTGTGACTGTCCTCCTGGCTTTATTGGAGCCGACTGTAGTAAAAGTAAGCCAGTATTCATTGAGATAATGTAATATATCATATGCTGCTTATATAAAAAGTAGTTATATGTGAGAATACTTAGGATAACAGCTCATCAGTGTAGAAGCAAGCAGGTCCCAACCAGCCTTTGACTGAAGAGCAAATCAAGGACACGTTTACATGAGCAGCAAGGCTGCTCTGACGCACTGTAATTACAGCATGCTGGAGCAGCCTCAATTAATTGAGTCTGCTGGAGCGTGGTTATTACTGCACTCCAGCAGACTCCAGCATCTTGTGTATCAGCATCTGTGGGGGCGCTTTAAAGCTCATTCGATGAACTTTAGTTAAAGTGCCCCCACTGCCATTTTTCAGCATGAGGACTCTGATACATGAGACGCCCCAGGCACTCTAATTAGAGCGGCTCTCAGAGCCACTCTAATTAAAGCCCCCCTGCCACACCCAGAGCATGCATATAAATGCCCCATAATCCCAGTTTTCTGGAAGTTCTCTTGTCAAATGATCTCTCTTCCTTCTCTGTGGGTGCATCTACGCATCGCTGTACTGAAGCACAGCTCAGTAGGGGTGGTTCTGTGCCATGTGCATGGCACACAGGTAGATTTCACTGCTACGTTGCCATAGCAGCACGCTATACCCGGGGAGCACATCGCTATGGTGATGTAGCTGGCAATCACGTGTAGACACAGGTGATTGCTACGTTGCTGTAACACGCTATACAGCTACATACGTCACCATGGGGCGATGTGTAGACGCACCCTATGTATGTGAAACAAGGCCACCATTACCAGGGCTGTAGCCTGTGGACCTGAATCACTTCTCCAGCCAGCTCAATGTGAAAGAGGTACTCAGGCTCTTCTTTTCTGCCCAAACTCTCTTAACTTTCTTTTTCAGTATCGTTCCCCATACCTCTCTTCAGCTCAGTCCCAGCATGGCAGGTTTTCTCTTTGGGGTTGAAGAAGGAATTGAAGAACTCCCATCCAGTTGAGGAGTTTGCTGAGGTATCCACAGCACTAAGTAAAGCACTAAAACAAGCACTTGGTGTACTGCCTGTTGATGAAATTGGGACATTGACAACCTGGGTGCAACCCTTAAAAGTGCAAATTTATAGTGCTTTAACCTCGAAAAATTGTTTCAGTTATATCTCTTCTGTTACTTCATGCAGTTCATTCAGCTTCTTCACAAATACATGTGGTAATCTACATTTTTTCTCTTTGGCAAAGGTATCATCAGTGTTCAGGAAATGAGAGGCAAGGATTTTTAGGGTGATATCTTTTATTGGAACAGCTGCATGGTTGGGATAAAGTTAGACCAGCTTTCAGATGCAAAGCATTGTTCCTCAGCTCTGAAGGGGGAGGCAAGAACTGTTCCTAATAATCGCTGAGCACCTGTATGAGCATGGGGATTACAGCACATTGGAGCAGACTCAATTAATCAAGTCTGCTGGAGCATGCTAATCAGCACGTTCCAGCAGCCTCCGCGTCTCACGTATTCAGCATCCCCACACTTCAAAATGGCAGGGACACTTTAACTAAGGCTTGTCATCACCCCCGCTATCATTTTGAAGCACAGAACAGTGGATGCACAAGATACTGCGGGTACTTTAGAGTGACTCAGAGCTGCTCTAATTAAAGCACACCCCCCCGGCGCACATGTAAAGATGGCCACTGTGGTTGCTTCCCTCCTCAAACCCAAGGAAAAATACCTTACATTAGAAAGCTGGCCTAACTTTATCACAACCATGCAACTGGTCCAATAAAAGATATCACCCTAAAAATCCTTGCCCCTCACACAATTCCTGAACCATCATTCCAACACGACCAGCAAATGTCAGATACTAATTGAAAAAGACAAGGATGCTACTCTAGGGGCGCGTCATGTGGTTAGATTTTGCTACTACTTTGCTGTAGTGGCGCGCTAAAATGGGGGAGCGCACGGCTATAGCCTAGTAGTTGCCCAGCACATGTAGACTCACGTGATTGCTATGTTGCTATAGCACACCATACGGCAATATAGGGCAACATGTAGATGTGCCCTAGATGTGGAAATAGGAAGCATCCATGTTTTCACACTGGATATTTGATAAGGAATTCCAACAGTCAAGTAAATTAGGAAGGAAAAAGCAAGCAGCCCTTTGGATTTTTTTTAAGGAATTTATTTGGATTCAAAACTAAATGCAAGAATTTTGCCTGATTTAAACAAAAAAAAAAGTGGAGGGTGAAATATGGTTCTGGACTTTTAATGAGAAAAGTCTGTGTTTCCTTTAGGTTGTCCTGAAAACCGTCATGGGAAAGACTGTACTCTGTGGTGTTCATGTGGTAAAGGACAGTGTGACCCAGTGACTGGCAAGTGCTACTGTCCACCCGGCTATATTGGACCTGATTGTCAGCAAGGTAATAGAATGAGATCCATGGCCATCTTGTCGGTGTGGGCATTTATAAACACCCACAAAAAGAAACTGCAACACCAAACATTTAAATAAATGATCATTGTTTACAGTTGCTAGGAATTTGTCCTATGCAGTAATCTCTGTGCTCTCTAATTTGTCTGGAGCAAAAAAGGTGGCTTTTGGTATAGCCCTCAGTAAACTGATGGGTTGATAAACCAGCCAGAGAAGGTGAAATCATGCTCCAAACAAGTGCACGGCTCCAGGTCCTTAGTTTAGGCCTTTTCTTTATTAAAACAGAAACATTCAGAATGACCCAAAACAACCCAAAGTCTCATCATGCTTTAGTGTTCTTGGTAGACTGAGTGTGCAGGGATTCACAGTTCCTACAGCCCTCCCCAGCCAAAGCTTCCCTTTGGCAACACCTGCTTGCTGCAAGTGTCTACCTGCCTTACCTTCTTGGTGGTATACATGATGGTGACTTCCCTCCTCTGCTCTTCTATGGATGAGAAAGGAAATGTTATAGAGAATTTCATATAGATTTCCTGTAGGACTCAGGCAGTAATGACAACTTCTAGTTTTAAAGGGCCCGAGAGCCATAATATTGGCTGAGAGTAATGCTGGAGTATTGTTGTTAATAATTTCATATATATGTTATGGTAGTGCCTAAGGACCAAAAAAGAAGGTGGCACTGTGGTATTATTATGCTCAAAAAAATTCTTTGCTCCAAAAAATTTACAAGAGATGGAGGAAAGGGGCACAAAGAAGAGCAAAGAGGCACAAGGAGGGGCGCAAGGAAAGCAAGGAATATACGAGGGAAAGAAGAATCGTGTTAGTTCTGAGGGGAGGCAGGAGGGCATAAGCGAAATGGAAATGGAAGTGAAAGAAGCAGGACAAGGGAAGAGAATGAGGGGACAGGGCAAGGAAGAAGTGGGTGAGAGAGACTATGGCCACAACCCAGCATATATTTCCAGTGGTAGAAATGTCTGAGAAAGAGGTGGGGAGCAGCGAGTGGCTGGTCCACTCTCCCACCTCGCCCACGGGCCCCTACCAGTAGGGGAGGGGAGCAGCAGGGAAAAGCGCTCAGCTCATTCCCTAAACTCTGGTCTGGGGAAGAGGCAGGGACCACTGCCCCACTGCAGACCAGACCTGACCAGGAAGAGAGTGTACAAGCATTCAGTCTTTCAAGACAGTTTTTCTCATAAGGGAGATATTCAAGGTTTCAACCTGAGAGATCTTCATCCCAGAGGAGGCATGTTTCCCCTGGGAGAAACTGAATGAATATTTGTATGCTGGTAGTTTTTACCAGGAGAGCAGTGATTCTCCTGGTAGAAAAGTAACACCTGTATGTGGCCTTTGCAGGAGGCAAGGAAAAAGGCCTGGCATGAAGTGCTAACTGGCACAGGACAGAAGGGTGTACAGATGACCCCAGGCCCAGTGCAGTATTACTTCAGTGCAATATTATATGCTGAAGAGACATTTCCATGTTCACATCTTCCCCCATCTTGATGTGATCTGTTTTGTGATGCTGATTGTTTTAAAAAACTTTGTTAATTTACTGTAGTGTGTCCCCAGGGAAGATATGGTCCTAGCTGCCAACGAATGTGTATCTGTAAGAATGGTGGTATCTGTAGCCATGTGGATGGGTCTTGCACCTGTGGTCTTGGCTGGACAGGAAGTTATTGTGAGAGAGGTAATTTTTTTTCTGTGTTTTGACAAAAAGGTAATTAGCATCAGTATCAGCTTTTATACCATACTGTCACTGTTATTATATGTATTAATGTTATTGGAAGTAAAAGTTTGGGTTAAATTACTCAAAAGACTCTAGTATCCTGATTTTTTTTAAAACTAACAAATGAATTTATAGAAAACTATTAATCCAGGTTGGACTAGCAGGAATGAGATGACCCTAGTAGATTCACTGAGAGGTTTGGATAATAAGGACTGATTACATTCTTCAGAAGTGAAATAGCAACATTACATTTTTCACGGTTGGTACACAATAGCAGAAATATTGGGCCAGATGCTCAATTGGCATAAATCAACCTAGTTTCCTGACTTTGAGAGCCAGGCTGCTTCACACCAGTAAGGATCTGAGTGTACTTAAGTATTTTTCTAAAGAGAACTGCTCGTGCACCTGTCTCCAGTGATTAGGTAATATGACAATGAAAGCTAAGGCAGAAAATATGTCTTTTTTTTGTTCTGTCCCTTCCACCCACAAACCTCAAATTTGAGTAATCATGCTGATTTCAGTATCTACATAATAATATGCTAACAGTAGCAGCTAGACATGGAAGCAGACAGCAATATGTATTTATTGTGATCTGCTCCAGATTTAAGATGTCATAGCAATGGAGCAACTACAGTGCTGCAGAAATAAGTAGGTTGATTGTATTGACACAAGTTCACGTTTGCATGACTTGGCTTTGAACAGGCTGAGGTAAATTTAGTTCGCTAATAGGAGGACTCTGTCCTGTATATGTAAATGCATTTTGTTTTGGCTGAAACTGAGTTCCTTCTATTTCCATTAGACATTTCATGGGAATTACCAGCATTCATAGGCATTACAAAACAAATTACAAAAAAATAGTTGGCTTTTATAAATTATAGATATCTGTAAGAAAATATTAGTGTAAGTGCAAAAAGAAATCTGAAAAGGTGCTATTTTCCTAAGACAGTGAAGGTTTCTCTTGCATATGGACAGACAACTAAACAAATGTGACTTGTGGAAAGGAAGTTGCTTTTGAGGGCTGCACAAGGTCCACAGAATTAAAACTATTTTTCACAGAACTTTGGTAAATTGTTCCCAATTGTAAAGAAATGTCATGAACTCAGAAAGCAGATAAGTTTCAGTGAAGAGAGGAAATTCACAACCAATATTTATCTCAGCTCTGCAAAATGTTGTGTGATTTGTGGTCATTTCTTTCAATGTCTTTTCAGTATGGAGTCAGGATAAATAAGAGGTGGGTTTTTTGTTCTTTCATTTAACAGAATGCCCTCCAGGTAGATATGGCTCTGACTGCCACTTACACTGCTCATGTCAGAACAATGGCACTTGTGACAGGTTTACCGGCTGCTGCCAATGTCCAGAAGGTTACTATGGGCATGTTTGTGAGCACAGTAAGTAGACGGCTATCTGCGAGAAGCAAAACTCCAGCTTTCCACCCAGCTTTGCAAAACTCCAGCTTTGCTTTAGGGCCATGTAATTGGACCCTAATTTTCCAGCAATCACATAAGTCTTCAGAATAGTCTTTTGCATATCTCCCAGGTTCATTCTTTGGAGCCCCAATTCAGGTTAGGGATGTACGTAACTCTGTACACATAAGATGTATGTAACTCTGTACACATAAGCCGTCTCTCTGCAGTAAACAGGATTGCTTATGAGTTTAAAACAAATACACCTGCTGAAATACCTCCTGGAACAACAACAGCCCATAACAGTTATTACTACTGGGGACTTCTTGTGAACTACAGGCTACAGGAGGGCATTATACATTTTCTATGTAGACTTTGTTTCCCAAAATCAAAATAACATTTTGGCATTTTTACTTCCCAGCCTGCCCTTCTGGATTTTTTGGTCTAAACTGTCTTCACTCTTGTGACTGTAAAAATGGAGCCAGTTGCAATATAGTGACTGGACAATGCATATGTCCTGCAGGTTATCAAGGGATCCAGTGTGAAAAGGGTATGTGTGAATTTTTTATTTTAAAAAATGAATGTCAGTACACACAGATTTGGACTGCTTGGGTATTTTGGGTTCTTGATTCTGTGTTTTACAAAGAATATTTATCAATGGATATTTTAGGATCCTATTTTAAGCATTTTACTGTTAATTCTGTGCAAAGAGCATCCGAATTAATGTCTTCATCCACTACCTGAACATATTTATCATGCTCTAACATTCCTCTTGTTCAAAAGGATGTTCCCAAAGAAAAATAATGACATCTTTTATCAAGACTTTTCCATGATGTTTTATATCACCCTGACGCTATCTTCTTACCAGTGGCAAATACCTTCTGCCTTAGAGAAAGGGCAACAATGATTTGCAGTAGATAGGTATCAAAAAATCTGACTACAGGGGAAAAAAACATGTATAAGTCAGAGCTTGGATGCTACCCTGAAACCCCAAAAGCCTTTGATTGTTTGCTCGTTATATATGTGGATGTTTTCATTTCCATAACTGTCTAAAATTGTCATTAGGAATACTGTTAAGCTCAATGATATATTGTGGCAGTGAGTTCCTTATGTTAATTGTCTTAAATACATTTATATTACCAGCTTTAAATAAGCTGATTATAATAAACTTATTTATTAAACAAAATTATCACTGCCATATGAAAATGCTATTATGTCTCATTAAAATGGGTTGGTGTTGTATAATAATCTTCTGATAACTGCATCTTAACAATGAAATGCCTAATTACTGCAGTCCTTAGGCATATTGCATAGGTGTATGATAGGTTCAATTAGATTCAACCCACATAAAGAGAGGCTGTAAATGCTACGTCTCTTGATTCATTTCAGAACTCACAAACTGTCCTATGAGATACGCACAAAAGATTCAGACAAGACAATGTTTCTTGCAAGTATAAAGCATCTAACTAGTTTATTTTTTGTTAGGCTGTAAACTGGGCTGGTTTGGCAACAGGTGTCAGTATCAATGTGAGTGTGGAGGAGTAGCTCTATGTGACCCAGTGACTGGAAAGTGCCTTTGCCCCCCTGGCAGGACTGGAGACAGATGTGGCAGTGGTAAGATCATTAAATGTCTCTCAGGGTTGGTATATACATAGTTTTTGTACCTTTGTCTAGGTTTACAAATTCTTACAGTTAAATCAGTGCCATTCTTGAGTGTTGGCACTGTGGAAGAATTCCATCCCAGTTTCTTCCCAGTCACTACTATTAGGTATTTTCCTTGCCATTGTTTTCTCACCTGTCTGTCAATTTGGCTGTCCTGGGTTATTGCAGAGGTGAGGAACTTCAGGGAGAGGGTGGGAACTCCCCCTATCTACTGTGTTAGCCCTGACCTCATGGCATGGGGGCAGGGGCTTGAGCCCATGTCACTCTCTTAGGTGATCAGTGATGCTTTTTAAATTGACTGGTCCGCATCAAACACCTGGCCTTGTTTGGGTCTTGAAGGTGATGTCAAAAGGGCTGTATAAGCTAAAACTCCTCAGGACAGTGGCGATGCGTAGGGGGTGCACGGGGATGCACATGCACCCCATGAGAGTGCTGGTGACCCCCTGTCAGCCAGCATTCATGGGCAGGGGGGCAGGCGAGAGCGCTGGTGCCCTCCCTGAGAGCACTGGCCAGGGAGTGCTCCAAGAGAAGCAGTGGCCAATCCCGCCAACACGTAAGTGCCAGCGGCGCATCTGGATGTGCCAGTGGCATGCCACTGCCAGTTGTAGGTTGGCAAGATTGGCCATGGGGGGACTCTTCCCCCCCCCCAGTTTGCCAGTTGCTGACTGTCCTGTCAGGGGGGCAACTGCACCTCCTGACTCAGGAGACACCAGTCACCCATGCCTCAGGAGATGGGGCAGCAGCCATGTTAAGTCACATACAGCTACTGGAACATCTGCAAATCTTTGTCTCTCTCTCAGGATGCTGAAGTGAGTAAACTACCTGGAACTCATCTAGATATATGGCTTACTGTAATGTAGAAGCGTGTCAACCAGCTACTAAGCTGACACTGTTTGCTCTGGGTTATTCTTTGATGCTTCTTTATCCTGTACCCTTCCCCAAGCCTACCTTCTTTAACCAACAAAACTATCCACTATAACAAGCATAGTGGACTTGCTGGGACAGGGACTGGGCATGCCTTTTCTAATTCCTGTGCTTGGCTGACTAAGGGAGGCTACTTTCTGTGCTTCAGGCTTAAGGAAGCACCCCAAGTTCTTGCAGTGGGTCCAGCACCCTCAAGGCCTACTAGGCCTGTGTACCCCAGGGGGCACGTGGCCCAGAAACAGTCCAGACCCCTGGGTGGTGGCAGTCATTAATATCTTATGACTATAAACTGCACTGCTATTAACATCTTCCTAATAAGGAGGGAAGCTGCAAGGTGCCCCAGCAGGAACCAGAAGGCATCAGGGCAGGAGAAAGGGAGGAGTGAGGAGGAGGGGTGCGTGGTATTGAGTTTGCATAGCATATGAGGTTAAAGAGAAAAACAGCAGGTGGCCTAATGACTCTTCATAGGCTGTGCTGTGGGCAGTGAGCCCTGCAGTCTCATGGGGCTTGCTACTGCCTCCTCCCCATGCATCAAAGGGAATAGGGAGTGGCTCCCAGCCGCAGCTGTGTCCAAGCTGATGTGTTGTTGATTAACTGTTTAACTGACATGATTAGAGGAGGTTAAACACATAATTTTTTTTAATGATATTTACATCCCTATTTCTAAACTGAGATAGCCGGAGGAAAACTGTTTGTGGAGCATACCTAAAGATACCCTGGCTTCTGCTTGACTTTAGACTAACACGGTGACTACCCTAACTCTTTCTGCATACCTGATCTGTCAGTTCTTCTATGCTTTACCCACTGCCCAATATGAAAGGACAGAGTGAGAATGTGCTATGAATGTTCAGATTTCAGGAGAGTCTCTCTCAGGTCATGCAAACTGGGCATGAATGAATTTATGTATGTGTTGTGCAGGGGTAGTTGCAGGGCTTTGCCAGCCAATGTAAAGATAGTCAAGAATCTGTAATCCTGCCCCCATGCGGAAACACAAATAATTGCCCTTGGGGAACAGTTACTGCTGGCTTTGGGCTGTAACCTGTAAATTTAGGTTCTGACTATATTGGGTCCCTGGGCATAGAGTGGGAGAAAGCAGATGATGTTTGTTTCTTAACAATGGTCCAGAGCTCAGGAAAGAGTCAGTGGACTCCAAGTGGAATCCCTTGGTTTACATATGCAAAACTTTAGAAGTCTTGGTTCAGAGATGATACCTTTTTATTAGACCAAGTAAGAAATCACAAAAAAAATTACCTTTCTTTGCGAGCTTTCGGGCACATGCACCCCTCTTCAAGCTGGGGGGAAAGCAATTATGGTAAAAGTCCCCTTTTATAAATATCACTTGGGCTGTGTGTTAGGTAACTGAAAGTGCTGACAGGCATGGAAAAAACCCCCCGCGCATTACTGTAGGAGAAATCTCATTAGTTGGACCCAGCTCTGCAGTGTCTGTATAGATCAGGTGCTTTTTGGTGTTTTTATCCAAAGCCAATTCAATCAGTAATCACCTAAAGGCACAAAAAAGCCCTGCGGAAATGCCCAATCTATACAGATGTTGGGCAAGCAGGGTCAGACTAGCACAATGACTCTTCTGAGCATGCATTGCTCTTGGTGCGGGGGTGCACTGAGCTTAAAGTGCCATTTTTAATTATTTTTTTTTAACATCTGCAAGCAGTCTGATTTGCCCAGGGAAGCAGAATTCTTTCCTTCATGCTAAGATTATAAAATGGGCAAGAAAATTCTGTTTCAGAGAAAACCAAAAGAATTGTATCCTAATGAAATCACGACTGTTATGGGAGAACACAGATGGCAGTTGAAATTCTTGGGGCAGATTCTGATCTTTTCATCATGCTGAAGAATTCTGAAGAAACTAGAGAGAGAAATGGAATGACCCCAGTCATCTAAAAACACATGTAAGAGTTAGAATCAGGCCTCAAATTCAAATGATAAGAAAGACAGAAGGACTGTATCTAGTGTTGTGTCTTGAGGCCTTAGCTGGAGCTGCAATGTCGTAGAACGCCAGAGCTCCTTTTCAGGGACAGTCTCCCCGATTTTTTTTCTTAGGAGACCACATGAAGCAGTTACAAATGTAGCATATTATCAATGAGAAGGAGAGGTTAACTAATTGCTGGGAACTGAAGAGTTGGTACAACCCAAAAGAGTTCAAAAAGAAAATGACTTGTTTCCCCTGCTGTACTGTCCTGTGGTCAAAATCAAAGTAACTCAATCTCCAGACCTTGTGGTCTGAATGAGCAACTGAACCACACTATGCAGTGAGTAAGGCTGCACGAATCCAAAAATCTTTCCAAATGAGGCTGGAAGCAAGACTGAAACACAAGGGGGAAGCTTAGCACCAGAAATGGGAGAAAAATATCTGCTTCTTGCAAACGAAAGGAGTAATTTTTATGTTATTAAATTAGCTATAGCAACCTCCATCCACAAAAAAACTGTTATGTTTTGGGGCAGGTTTTATTTGCATTTTTATTTTCAATTAGGCTCAGTTCATCTGTGATATAACTGCAAGCAGCTGTGACTATGCAGCTGCTATAAAGATAAAAGGCCTGATTTTAATTTGAACTCTGGTAAAGCACCCATTAAACAGGCAAAATCTTAATTAAAAAAAAAGAGGATATAACAGACTTTTATGGGGGGCTCTTTTTCTGTGTTAAATTAACATTGCAGACTTTCTAACAGATGTCTTAAATAGACATTGTTATTAACATGAAAATGTGGTATTACATACATTAAAATCAGGTCCAGAGGTGTTCATGGAGACCCTGTCTCATAACATTTCCTAATTGAAAAGACTTAAGTCTCTGAGACCAAGTTAAGAATTCCCCCACACATCAGGGTAGCAGCTGAAATGGCACTGGGAAACATTTGTATTTATACAATGATGGATGTGGTAAAAGACAGATGATAATTAAAAACTTAGTGATATTTTACCTGTCTGGGGAGATCAGGTAAATAAAATGCCACAAAGTTGGCATAAAGTCTACTGGAATGGCTGTTACAAAATCATCTGCAGTTTGACGGGGCTTGTGTGGGGTTTAACTACAACGTGTCTAGAGAGTCAACGTTGGTAGTGGAGAATTCTGAAAGTCAGTAAATCTGTCTGTGCTGAAAGTGCTTTCCTGAAGAAATTCCTGACTCCCTGATGGCCAATCCCCTGATGTGCTGGTTTTTTAGAAGCTGTTTGCCATAGCGGGAGTTTCTTTAAGACATTTGAACAAAGAATTGGCCAGATTTGATGGTGAGGGACACATACAGGCTTCAAGGTTCCCCACAAGATGTGTTGTTTATAATTGTAACTTCAATTAGGTTTCGTAGTACCAGCAGAGTGTTTGACAGCAGAGCAAGGAAGGGTGCAAAATGGTCATGAGCTCTCTGACCAGATCTTCAGCCACTTGCAATGAACTAATATCAATAGCCAATATTATTTTCATCGCACCATCTGAACTCAACAGAGCTTTAACATTGTACTCCCACTTCACAAATCCTCAGAGAGGTTTGCATTTGAACCCATTCCAGTGGAAAAAGCCAAGAACTATGATTCCTTGAAAGAAATATCCCTAGTTTCATGCTGTATATGGTGCTTTCCCTGAAATTCTGATACTTGCCAGTTTTACGCTAGGTTTGCTATTCCATTTCCCAACCGCTGTTGAGGGCAGGGCTTATACTGAGGTTCTCTAATGGACTGCAGCTGCCAGTTCGGACACTGATTGCCCATCTCCTCCCCTTTTTTCCTCCCCTTCCTTTTCTTGCCAGACCCTCTTCTTCAGTGGGACAAAGTTGCTCAGTGGCAGAACTATTTATGGTTTGAAATCTGTGTATTAAACATTTCTTAAATATATTCATTTTCCAGAATGCAGGTCAGACCAGTATGGCCCTAACTGCTCTCTACAATGCCAGTGTGCTAACAAATCCCAGTGTAATCCTCAAAATGGAAAGTGCAGGTGCCCTTCTAAGTGGATGGGGCCAACATGTGAAGAAGGTAACGTAGAACAGAGATTGATGACCTCTCTTAATAGAAAAATGCATGCAGTTTCTATACTGAGTTAGAAGAGAAGGTCAGTAATAAGCCAGCTTCGTTTTTTCCTGGGGGTTTCACTAGCTTATTCCAGTGTAACTCAGGCTCAGGGTCCATGGCAGCAAAGGCCCATGAAGGAGTTGCACTGATGTGAGCTATTCACGATACCCACTCAACTACCATTCTGTTTGGGCACCTATTCGTGTGCAGGGAGGCTGCTCTGACACTCTGCAATTACTGGGAGCCATTCTAATTAAAGCACCCTCCCCCCAACTCCCAGAATATGTGTATAAACACTCTTTGTTACCAGACAATTCTGCGTTTAGTTTGAGAAATACTTTGGGACCTGTAAATGCAAGAGGCTTTGCTACTATTCCTGAGGCTGTTCATTCTGTCTGTGCTAGGACATTGTCATAACCTAGTCCTGGTCCTCTGCTTGTGGATGAAGGTGGCATTTGAATTAAGAGCAAAGTGGGTAATCTATATTATATCTCAGAATTACATAACTTCTGTTTCTGTTTAACTCTCTAGGTGGCCCTGCAAAGCTTCCTTCTTATGAAGGACAAGCTCAAGAAAGAGGAAGTATTTTTCCAAGACATCAACAACAGTAATGTGTGGACTACTAAACAGGCTGCTTGATATGCACAGATAGTATTTAAATTTGGATATGAGAACTGGTATTTGGTTCAGCTTGAACTGTACTGAAATATGCATATTTCTTCCTGGAAGACTACAGTGGCTATTGGATCCCAATCACAATGAGAAGTAACAGACCCATTGACAGTGAGCCACACCAAACACTAGTGATCTTCTAAACCCTGTTGACAATCAGACTGGAATTAATGTCGATGTCGTGGAATTATAAGGCCAGTAGTTTCTGTTCTGAGCATGTAATCTGACCACTTGTGTATAGCACAAGCCACAGGACTTCCCTGACTTAATTCTTCCTCAAACTATGGCATGTCATTAAAATATGTGTGTGTATATAATCTCAATTTAAAAATTGCTTCTGATGGAGCATCCACCACAGCCCTTGTTGTTAATTAGCCTTGCTGTGAAAACAATTGCAGCATATTTCTACTCTGAATGTGTCTAACTGATGGATCTCAAGCTTAGATCTTGTTTATAGACGTGATATATCTTCCAAAGGATAAGGTGGACTTTATCTGGCTCTTATTATATTGCTGTCCTGGAAGTTGAGCTTATACTGGTTTATCAGAGCAAACTATTCAGTGGCTCTCTGGGAGAACATACCTTTCCATCACAGAGAAAGTTATGTCTTTAATGGGAGGGGAAACAGGCAGAAGAAGCTGACTAATTGGCTGAAATAAGGCTTTACATTCGGGGTGTTTTTAATGGTTCAACATTTTTTCAACGTAAGTTCTCAGGCCCCTGAAACGCATTGTACTTAAGACATAATTAACTGGTAATCATATCTCAAGTAGTGACCTGGCCACGTATTTATTCAATTAATGGTGTGATAATACCAGGAATAAGTGTCACAATTTTAAAACAAAATATATGTAATAACTTTGTCACTGGTTCCTATCAGACCTGTCATTGAACATGTGGCCTCCCCCAGCAGGGAGCCCCAATCACTGACAGAGCTCCCACCCCTCTTCCCCCCAGTCCTTTGCTGAGAGCTCCAACTGCTGACAGAGCTTCCAGCCATGGGGGCACCCTGCGCTCCTGTGCCTAGGAGCCCTGTATGCTGAGTGGAGCTTCCCGTTGTGGAAGCATATAGTGTACCCCTGCAGCTGGGAGCTCTGATCACTAATGGGGCTCCTCACCCAGCAGCAAAGATTTCTGGTACTGCAGGAGCCTGGGATCATGATCTGGGGCTTCCCCTGCACCAGCAAAATGACGTGATAGGATCTGATGCTTGATCCCACAGTTGCGTCTCCTGCCGTGCAGGTGTGGCGTGGCAAGGAACGTAATTGCAGGGATTGCACATCAGATCCCTTTGTGCCTTCTTGTTAATGTCTGCCAGTGGCCTCGGTTCCTGAGAACACATCATCGGGGTTATTGCAAAAATAACTGGTTCTATTTTGACAGGTTATTTGCTCAACATCACACTAGGTAACTATAAAGAAATAATATTCTGCATTTTAGTGTCCTAAGTTAAGTAGGGTGAAAGATTAAGTGTACCATTTAAGCCGGTACAATTGTTCTGCTCTGGAAATTATACACGTGTGGGTAAGAACCTTCCTGTGTGATTAAGTAAGAAGTGGAATTTTCTTTAAAGTTTTTAGGCATATACAGTCCTTAGACTCTTTAGGATAAAGAGCTCCATGTTTTAGTACTCAGTCCTCTTCATGCACCACAACAATAGCTACTTTTCAGGAAAAAGCCAATGTCATCTTAAAGCCATGCCCCTACTGCTTCCTTGCCAAGTCTGGGACCACTGCTGGGAAAGAAGCCCTGTCCACTCAGTCCTGCTAGGGTGCGTGAAAGCCTGGCAGTTAGGCAATATATATACTGGGCAGACCTGAGCTTGTGACCCAGCACTGTTCCTGAGGCTTTCTTGAAAGTCGATTGCATGTGGCCTCAGAGTCATAATTGCAATAATGGTTTTCTTGTTCTTTTCTTTCAGTATTTCAGATTAAATATCAAGCACTCCTAGCTTCTCCTGTCACAGCTCTAGGAAGGCATTAGCTGTCTAATAAGTAACAAGTCACTAATGCTCACCTGGGACTTGAGCTGAACTAGGATCATTGGAAGCAATAGAGGTTTGGGTGGGGTTTGTCAAGCATAATGGAAGCATGATTGTTGTTATCCATCACTTAATGGCTATTGAAACCCATTCCAAAGACAGTAATGATCCTTGTGACTGTAACAGAGCTAATTAACCAGCTGTGCTTTGAGACAGAAAATCATAAGACCTAAGTCTGATATCCCACCAGTTTTCTTGTGTGGACATAAGTGGAGTTATTCCCAATTTTTAGTGAGATGGGGGAGACTAGAATTAGTGATTTCCTAGAACTACTCAGAAACAGGTAGCTCTCAGCAGGCCCGTGTCACTAGCTACCACCATCTTACATGTCTTTTTAAGGACACACAGACCTCATTTTATCAGGGGTGTAAATCAGTAGTAACTCCAGTGAAGTGAATGAAGTCTATTAGATAAGACTTGTGCAAGAAAAGAATCAGATGCCCTGTTTTTAACTGCTGGAGAATTACAACGTAAGGCAAGAGTGACGGACAGCCCTTAACTTTGCCAGTATACTTATTGGTTAGTAAATAGTTCTAAGAAACCATACTTATTGCAATGGATATGTTATGTTCAGTATTTTTCATCTGGGATGTTACTAATAGTCTGTGGAAGAAATATTTGGTTTGTTCACTGATTACCTGAAGAACAAAGAACAGACTTTGGTTAATCCTCTCTTATAAGGGTATGTAGTGTTTATTGTTTTGATATATAATAAAATGTAATATGAGCAGTTTATTAAAGAAGCAAACTTTAAGAAGCCATATTTTTAAGTAAATCTGTGTTTTTAAAGATTTTTTCTTACTATACACCAAACCATTTAAGCATATGTTTGTTTACATTTTGCACAATACTTTAATATTAGCATTGTAAATATGTACTATAAATGAATAAAGCATTTGTATGTACTGTTTTTATAACAATTATGCACTTACGATGCAAAGAAAAATCCTTAAGAAAAAGTGAATGATATTGATTCTGTACTACAGTATTGGAAGCCAAATAGATCCATTTCAACATTTAAAAAAACCACTTTCCCATTTGGGTAGAAATAGCTTTTTTACTTCAAAATGAATGCTATATGAATGCTAGTAAAAGAAAAACAAAATTTTTAAGTGAAAATGAAAATGAAAACATCAAAACAAAGCTCGCTGAGCTGAAATAATTTTTAGATTTCCACTAGTGAAAATTTCCAGACTTCAACAATTTTTTCAGGACCGAAAAACTAGTTCTTGCAAGACTCTTGTTTTATTAGCTATTCATGGTTATAACGTGTTTGGAAACCTACTTGGTATGTCAGAAATGGAGGTTTTGCTTCTCTCTGGGGATGAACAGACTTACCAACAGTGAAATGATGTGCCTACGTAATGTTGTTCATTAAACTACATGAGCTTTTTTGGCATAGGAAAGTTAGCATCCATTGAGCTCATTTTGTCAAACTGTGGCCAATGAATTGTATTTGTTACAAAAACAGTATCATATTTTTAATGAATTATGATTCTGATTAGTAAAGGTCCAGTCTAAAACTGTTGGTAAGGGCTATGTGTATTAGTGAAACATGTTTAGAAGTGAAAACTTGAAAGAAGATGTTTGAAATACATATATTCTTCACCCATGAGCACACTCTCCTTGACAATCTGTTTCTCTATGATGTTTGTAAGTTATAATGGAGTTATTTTGCTGAGTAAAACATGGATGTTAGAGGAACCCATATATTTCATAGACATTAGGGCTAGAAGAGACCTTGGCAGGTCATTGGGCCCAGCCCCCTGCCCTAGGGGCAGGAAGTCAGCTGAGGTCAAAGGATCCCAGCAAGATAAACGTCCAAATGTCTCTTAAAGCAGTCCAGAGTAGGTGTGTGCACCACCTCTGGTGGCAGCTCACTAGTTGCAAACTGACTTTTAGGTTATTTACAACATACGGTCTCTGAACCAAATGCTGTTTACACTGTTGTAAATCTAAAGTAACTCCAGAATTAGACTGGTATAAATGAGCAGAATATAACTCAATGAATCCAGAAGAATTCTATTCTAAGTGAGTACAAGAAGCCAGAACAACATGTTTTAGGTTAGACTTGTGTAATTATAATGTTATACTCATAGGAAAACAATCAGAATTTTTAAAATTCCCCACTCCTCACTGCCAAAAATTATTGCTCTGCTTTTATCCTTTTTATGTTGAAGAACCATAGCTATTAAAGTTTGCCCAGATTTCTTGCCAACCATATTATTTTGATTGGCTGCAGATTTCTGTTTGTGTAAGTAATAACCATCACAGTGTCTGAAGTTGCCAGTAGAACAAACATTCAAATTATACCTTCTTACCCCTTCCATAAGATCCAAAGAGACATTTTTGGAAGAATCATTGGTCAATACTACTGATTTAACCATGACAAAGTAATCATGTTTAGTTCAGAGTTTATTCTTTTATCAAAGAGAAAGGAAGTCTTGGAATCTCTCCCGTTTTTGTAACTGGGAGTTACATGGGAGTTAACTATGTTGTCCTGTGAATCTGTAGAGCTATAAACCTCTACCCTATTGTTTTTCAAACTTGTACCGTTAGGTCAGATACCATATTAGGCCTCAGTACTGTGAAAGGATCCCAAACACGGACACTTGCCCCACATGGAGGCTCATTGATCAACTGGAACTCCATGCAAGACAATAATCATACCATCTAATCCCTTTGCAAAGCCAAAGCTTTCAATTCTAAACCTCTAAAGCAATAGCCAGTGGTAAGTAAATAATAGCAGATTTGTAAAGCATAAATTGTTTATTCTGTTCTTTATATGGCATTTAATAAGCACATGCATAGCAATAATATGTCTTTGTCAATTTATACTCAAAGCATACTTGAGATGTTATTCAAAGCTGTACTGTATTTTCTGGTGTACACATGTTTAAATGATGCCAGTTTTTTATAAATGTGTTAATAAAACTTGTTCTCATTCTCTCTTTTTTGATCCTCTTTAAGGGGGTTATGCCACAGAACACATTCTGATCTGTTACACTGACATAAATTCAGAATGAGTCCACACAAATTATGCTACTTCTGAGTGTAAGTAGGATCAGATTTTATGTAAATAATAGCAAAATGATGTATACATAAATGACTACATACACAGATCTATGACCAGAACAACTTCTAGATGATAAACAGAGTTATTTGGCATTCAGAGCCTATGGTTATGGTAGCGTCAGAAAAAATGTAGTTACATAAATACAATCTGAAGACAATGATTACAGATTGCAGTCTTTTTGGAAGACCTGGGTATTACACACTTTGAAGGCATTGAAATCATACACCTGCAGCCTCCCATCAGACCTCTTGGACAGTTCCCAAAGCTTAATATTTGCCATACAAATAGCTTCATTCACCTAAAGGGTATTGTCTTCTCTCACTGGAAAGTAGTAAAGGAATATATGCGCCTGCTAAATGCCAAATAATGCAGTAAATACGGGGTGTTTAATTGGAAGTAGCATGCTAGATTGAACTCACAATGTGTAACAAAGGGCGAATAGTACATCAACCTGTCAAATGAAAAAATGAGTAGGTAGACAGATATTGTTAACTAGATCCTGGGAGAACAGCTTTTCTGGCTTAGGTTTATTTTTAAATTTCAGTGCACACAAACTCTTAAACTGAATTGAGGTAACAGAGTTTGGTAACAGGATGCTTTTTCATAAGTTATAGTTTTCTTGATGCCATACAGTTCTAGGCCAGAAAAAAGAGTCATCATAGTCATTTACTTTGGCCTTCCGTGTAACACTGTTTATAAATTTTCACCTAGCACTTCCTGCAACCAGCTCAACAACTTTTCATACCTGAAGCTATGTTAAAACCTCTCCAAAAAGGGATTAAGCTGAGTTGCTACACTAACCTTTCCAATCTGATCGCTGCAGTTCAGATCTGATCAAAACAACAGATGTGGTAAATTTATATTCTCAAGCCAGTGTAAAGTTAACATTGATCTACAATATATATCATGATCCTAGAAAGAAAAATCTTTACTCCACATTGGGTGCAAGATAGTAAATGTCTCTTGACTGATATCTTACACTGAAGCAAAACTAGTCTCGTCTTTGTTATTTAACAAGGCTTTGTGGGATGGTGTAGTTTCCTGTGCATTTGTTTACATTATTAAATTGACAACTAGTATTGTCTGTGTCCCATCTTAATTAGCACTAAAAATTCAGAGAAGACTTATCTGCAGGCACACACCAAAACAGAACTGTTAAAAACACCACAAGCAATTCCAGAATTCATATCTTAAAAGGCTTGCAAGAGTATCTGCTGCTTTGTAGAGTCTTTCAAGCTCAGTCATAAAAAAGTAGGCAATGCAACCAAATGATGATATGTTTTATGTATGAGCAAAGATGTCAGCAACTAGTAATCTAAGTGTCCATGCTATTTGGCAGGATTTAACTTCTTTTCCACTAATAGCACAATAAATCTTTATCTCCTCGAAAGCCAATGACAGGGAAACATCTTTAAAAACTGCATGTGGCAGAGATAGCATAATTTATTTTTGGAATTTTTAAATTGCTTCATGCCATCATTTATTGGGTGTATACTCCAGTCCAGATGTAACCTGGCTTAATGTAACAAGCTCATGTCTCCCCCTAGTGATTATAACAACCTGAGGCATGCAGCTAAAGGAAATCTTTACTTCTAATGGCAGGGGCCTATATTTTTTTAGTTCGGTCCCTGATGGCAACCACAGACCACATCTTCATTATTTTTACATCCAGTGTTTACAGCTTGTGTTGCTTCATGTCCAGACTATGGCAGCCTATGAACAGCCTAGCCAAGCTGAGAAAGAACGAGCGGTTCAGGTTGCATGGGAGCGCAACTTTTGAATGAACAGGATGGTTCCACCTATTTTCAGCATTCTCAAGCCCTTCCCAGTCAACTTTTTAGTATAACTCTATTTACGGAGAACACTGTCAATGCCAGTTATTGTTATTTTTTTTTTTTTGTATTAAAGTAGTGTTTAGAAACACCATTCATGGATCCAAGACCCCGTTTTGTTAGGCCCTGTAGAAAAAAACTCCCAAGACGATGGTCTGGTCTAATGGGCTTACAATCTAAACAACGAAGGCAATAGAACTAGGGCGCTGCGAAATTTCACCTGGTGTTTCGTTTTGAAGCTGTTTCGATGCGTTTCAAGCTCAAAACAGCAAAATCTAAATGAAACAAAAGCCTTTGAAATGAAACAAGGGAACTTGAAATGTTTCGAAACTTTCAAAACGTTTTGAGTTTCGAAGCCAGGCTTATTGGCTTCAGGGTCTCATCCGGCAGCACCCACCTCCTCTCATCTCGCAGGCAGATGAGAGGCTTGCCCACACCCACGGGAGGGCTGCGGGGGCTGTGCTGAACTCCTCCTGGGGGTGCAGGCCTTGATCTGCCTGCTAGATGACAGACAGGTGCTGGGCACAGCCCTCCCCCAGTGCTGGGAAGTTCGGTGCTGCTACTGGCCCCAGATGGCAGCACGTGGCTCCTGTCATCCGCGCAGATCGGAGGCACGTGCCCCCAGGAGGACTCTGGCACAGCCCCTGCAGCCCTCCCAGGGGTGCCGGTGGGCCCCTGATCTGTGCGCGGGATGACAGGAGCTGGGTGCTGCTGCCTGGGGCCAGTGGCAGCACTGATTTTCCCAGCACTGGTCCCAGGTGGCAGCACCCGGCTCCTCTCATCCAGCAGGCAGATTGGGGGTTTGCCTGCACCCCTGGGAGGGCTGCAGGGGCTGTGCTAGGGTCCTCCTGGGGCTGCAGGCCCCTGATCTGCCTGCCAGATGACAGACCAGCACTGTGCACAGCCTGGACCCAGCGCCAGGAAGATCAGTGCTGCCGCTGGCCCCAAGTGGCAGCATTTGGCTGCCTCCTGTCATCCAGCAGGCAGATCAGGGGCCTGCATCCCTGGAAGGACTCAGTCACAGCCCCCACAGCCCTTCTGGGGGTGCTGGTGGGCCCCCAATCTGCCTGCCAGGTGACGTGAGGCTGCGAGCTGCGTTTTATGATTTCCCATTTACCGTATGGGCAAAACAACGTCGAAACAGCGAAACGGTTTCAACGAAACCAAACGGAAGAGTGATTTCAAAATGAAACAAAACTCGAAACGAAACACTGTTCCGGCAAAACGGAAACCGA